TTGAGCTGGAAAGGACCGGGTGAAAATGGGAGTGGGGTTGGGGGTGGGGTGGGAGGCCTGACTCCAGGTCACCCAGTGAGATGGGCTGGAGCCCTGGGGCGCAGACCCCAGCCCAGATCTGGCTTGTTCATGCCCTGAAGGTGCATCATGGAGAAGGGGGTCTGTCCTGCAGTGCACAGTGGGGACTCAAGGGGGAAGGCTGCCTACTCTGTCCTCAGCCAGCTGCATTGCCCTGCGAGTGGTCTGAACCCTGCTTCCCTCACCCACCACCAACTTAAGGCACACACTCTCTCATGGAGGATCTTCAGGAAGTCCCCCTCTCCTGCTCCCCATCGCCAGTAGTCTTCCTCAAATCCAAATCTGAGCCTGTCACTCTCCTGCCCAAAGCCCAAGATGCTTGGCTTGGGTCACAGACCCCACAGGCTAATCTCATCCCTCCCCCTCCTCTCCTGCCACACTCCAGCCATGCAAACCCTTGCTCACAGTGACTCCAGCGGGCCCTGCTCCATCCTGTTTCTGGGCTTTAGCACAGACCGTTGCCCCTGGAATACTTGTCTTCCCTCCTCTTTCCCTGGCTAAGCCATGAAGCTCCAACTCTGTCCAGGAAGCAACAGAAGCAGTCCCAGGAGGTAACACCAGTCCGGGCCATCTCCTTCCTCTCTGGCAGGGACTGGTGTGGGTGTAGGTCGTCCTGGGCCAGTTTGGGCCAAGAGACATGGTGGGGGATGTCTGCTGGGGGACTCTGGGAAAGATTTTCACTCTGAAGAGAGAGAGGTACAGTGGTCACATTTTGGAGGAGCTCTGCCTGAGGCCAGGCTCCCAGGGAAGGACGCTGAGATCAAGATTTGTCTGGAAGAGGGTTATAGGACAGTGCTTGTGGTAGACGGAAGACTGCCCCCCACCGTAAAGATTATCCACTGCCTCCTCCCCAGAACCTGTGAATGGTACCTCATATGGCAACAGGGACTTTGCAGAGGTGACTAAGTGAAGGATCTTGAGATGGGGGGATTATGCCAGATTATCCAGGTAGGCCTGATATTGTCATGAGGGTCCTTATAAGAGGGAGGCAAAAGGGTTGAGGTCAGAGAAGAGGAGATATGATGACGGAAGCAGCATGATTGATGGGAAGTTGCTTCCCTGGCTTTGAAGGTGGGAGAAGGGACAGGGAGCTCAGGAAGGCAGGTGGCCTCTAGAAGCTGGAAAAGACAAGGAATCGGGTTCTTCCCCAGAGCCTCCAGAAGGAGTGCAGTCCAGTCTGACTCCAGAACTGTGAGATAATAATCCGTGTCTTCAGGCTCTAACTTTGCAGTGATGTGTTACAGCAGCAGCGTAGGCATCAACACTGGTAAACAAGTGAGGGACACAGGACCGGGCCGAGGGAGGAGCTGGCTGCGACACCGTTACCACAGAGGACTCAGCTGGTCCCACAACAAGCTGTGGAGCAGGGATGGCCCTGTAGAGCTGTGCTGAATTGAGTCAGGGGTCGGCTTGTACCCACCCCATCAACTGGTCACTGGGTGGGAGCTGCTTCCCTGGAGGGGTTGACCCTGGGGGAGGAAGGAAGTTCCCTTTGGCTCAGAGCAGTTCCCAGGAGGGGACTCACTGAGAGCTGTCAGCAGCCAAAGCTCCCAGCCCTGGGGGCACAGGCACGTTGGTCCTGGGGGGATTCCACCACACCTTCCCTGTGGCTCAGCAGCCCCTGCTTTCCTCTCAGCATCCTCTTACCACCCAACGATGTCATGAGCATCTTGAGGGACCCCGTCAGGCTCTTCTCCGACTCTGCGCCCAGCACAAGGCCTAGCACAGACTCAAGGTGGAATACAGCGATGGCCCCTGGCCTGCAGAGCAGCCAGGTTCATCCTCTCCTGTGAGAAAGACCTCGCCATTCTTTCCAGGTTGTACCTGAGGAAGCTTGGCCCAGTGGCTTGACACAGATGCCAGGCTGGAGACAGCAGCAGCCATCGTTCCCTGAGCGCTTCCCCTGAGCTGGGCCTGATCCTGAGTGCCCTACACATATGGAGCCGTGCAACTCTCACAGCAGCCCTTAGTGGGCACGATGGGTCTCCTCATTTTCTAGATAAGGAAACAGGCACAGAGAGGGGAAGCAACTTGCCTGGGGCCACACACCTAGCAAGTGTTATTACCAGGATTAAACTTCACTAGTCTGGCTCTGGGGCCTGCACACATGATCACCACATGTCACCTGCCCAGTACACAGACCTGCATGTGGTGAGGGACCAGGGTGGGCCTTGGACCCGGGTCACCTCAAGCCTGTTCAAACCATATCAGCGCACAGAGAACAGAGCACGGGTCTGGGTAGTGGTTCCCAAGTGTGACCTCCAGTGTCTGCAGGGCCTGCTGTTTCTGGGAGGACATCCATTCCTGGGTGGCCCATTGTGAGTTTGCCTCCCCACCCCCAGAGCTCTGTGGGCCTCACGGGTGCCCTCCTTACTGATGTCATCCTGTCTGAGGAGCAAACTGGAGCTGGCCCTGAACCAAAGGGAGGTGGGCCCATCTCACTGAGCAGCACCCACCTGGCCCTGTCCTGCCTGGCAGTATCCCATGGGACAGGCCACCCTGACATGCCCCAGAATCTGCAGCCTTAGAACCAAACCCCGTACAGTCACTGCCTATTGGGCTCTTTCCCAGCTTTGGTTTGTCAGCCAGGGGAGCAAAGCCACCACTCCTTGCTCCCAAGAGGCAGAGAAACAGAGCAACGAAGAGTTGTGGGTTCCAGAGGTAGGCAGAACCCAGGTCTGACTTGACGAGCCAGCCATGACTGTGCGACATTGTCTGCTTTCTTTTTTGTCTTTTGTCTTTTTTCCGTGTCCGGCAACAGATCGCAACCCTCAGTGTTGCCCCCGTACCGGACCGGGGACCGGCAACGGGATCGCAACCCTCGGCGTTGCTCCCGCGCCTCGCTCAGCCAGTGAGCGGGAACCGGTCCGTATGTGGGATCCGAACCCTCGGGCAGGAGCGCCGCCACGCTTCCCAAGCGGCACACTATCCAGTGCGCCACCGGGCCGGCCCATTGTCTGCTTTCTTAACAGGACAGCATTGTCATATGCAAAATGGAACCACCATTGGCAAACACTGAGTATTTACTGTGGGTCAGAGACCAGCCCACACACTGTCATTTGTCTCTTCCTTTGACCCTCTTCACAGCAGCTCGTAGGCAGGCAGTGCTGTTTTCATCCTCGTTTTCAGGTGAGCGGGCCGAGGCACTGAGAGGTTAACTAGCGTACCCAGGGTCACACAGCTGGGCCCTCCACTGGGTGGTGTGGACTTGAGTCTGTTCTCTTCACCACCTTTGCCCAGGGAGGTTGAAGAATTAAGTGAGATAATGCAGGGAACAGGCCTCTCCTGGTGACTGGCACAATACGTATCTCTTAGATGAATAACTTTTTTAGAAATGGAAAAGTGGTTGGATGGTCTTCCCTAATGAAATGTGTCCTCCCTTAATGCCTGAAGGTACCCCCAGCCTCTCTGTCCTGTGGGCAGTCACACTGTGCTGTCTTTGGGTCTCTTGCCTGTCACTGAGTCTTAACCTGTTGCGGGATGTTTTTTGTCTCTTTGGGCTACGTTTGATCTATTCTGGACCCTCCTCCCTTTTCCATAACTCCCCTTTCATACCCAAGGCATGCCTAACCTGCGCGTTCCCACAGGTTCCTTCACGGACTATGAGGCCTTCCCGAATCTGTCCCCAGACGCTCCTGCCTATCCTCCCGAGCCCCCACCCTGGCCCCAGACACTCCCTGCTCTGGCCACAGTGACTCACCTCCAGAGTCCTGAGCGAGGCTTGCTCCTGTACTGCTGAGCAGTGACATGTGCTCCCCAAATCCCAGGAATGTGCCTCTTCCCCCTACCCCACCCCAGCTGGCTAACCACTCACTGCTCACCCCCCAATCCCATCAGCGATCTCATCAGAGATGTCACTGTCTCCAGGAAGCGTACCTCCACCCCCATCAGGACCATTGCCCCTTCTCTGTGCTCACATGGCCCCTGAGCTGCCCCATCATGCTCTGATCACACTGTACCATGAAGGTCTGTTTACTGGTCTCTCTGCCCCACTAGCCTGCCAGCCACTCACGAGCAGGACTGTGTCTGGGTCATCTCCAAGTCCCCAGGACCAGCACTGGGATTACATTTAGTGGGTGTTCCCTGTGTTTGAAGAATGAAGGGCTGAGGGAGGCAACGTCACTGTGGTCTATCAGGATGGATGGCATAGCAGGAGACCCCTGGGGAGGCAGGAGACCCCTGGAGTGTCAGGAGACCCCTGGAGTGGCATTAGACCTCTGGGGAGACAGGAGACCCTTAAGGTGGCAGGAGACCCCTGGGGAGGCAGGAGACCTCTGGGAAGGCAGGAGACCATCTCCTGTGGGTAGCAGGAGGTCCCTGGAGTGGCAGGAGACCCTTGGGAATGGCAAGAGACCCCCGGGGAGATAGGAGGCCTATGGGGTGGCAGGAGAGCCCTGGGGAGACAGGAGACCCTTGGGGATGGTGGAAGTGCCTGGGGAGGAAGAGCAGTGGATACTTCGGGCCTGACCTGAGCGAGCCTTGATCCTAAGGAGGGAAGACAGAAGGTGAAGGAGCCTGGGTGGAGACAGTCACTTCCTGACTGAAGCATGAGATGATCGGTGGCCAGGGGAGGCAAAGAGCCCATGGCCCCCATGGTGCGTAAAAACCTGAAATGTCAAAGTGCTCTCACATGTCAGCACTGAGGGAATCCTCAGAAGTCATCTCCATCAGCACCTTCCTTTTACTGCAGTTCTAACTATGACCCAGAGAGGGACAGGGACTTCCCCAGGGTCCTCAGCAAGTCGGAGCAGATCTGAGCAGGAACCGGAATGTTCTGGGGGAACTTCCAGGCCTTTGCCTGCGCCCCTTGCAGGCCAAAATGAGTGTGCTCCTCAAGGCATGGGAGGGGGCTCTGCAGCCTGCTGCCCTGGAGGGCATGGCTCCCTCTGGGCCCTCTAATGCTGTCTCCTCTCCTCTCGCAGGTGAACCTGGTGCTGGGGGACGGCAGGTCCCTGGGCCTCACAATCCGCGGAGGAGCTGAGTACGGCCTCGGCATTTACATCACTGGCGTGGACCCAGGCTCTGAAGCAGAAAGCGGTGGGCTCAAGGTGAGGGGAGGGGTGGGGCCCCAGGCTGCATGCGTGGGGATGAGGGAGGGAAGATGGAGCTCTTTGCCGCTGATTTCCATCAGACTTCAGCAGAGCAGTCAGCACCCACCCCAGCCGGGGGCCCTCCCCTGGCTGCCATTCCTCTAATTCACAGCTGAGAGCAGCACAGGGTAGCCTCCTACGTGGTGCTGGGCAGCGGGCCAGCCCCAGCTCTTTGGGGCTGCAGTCTTGCAAACAGTGCTGATGGCTCGTGATGGCCCTGACTTCATGGATTACTATGGTGCATGGAGAGAGAAGAGGAGAGAAAGCTGTTAGCTGGGTCGGGGTTGCCCTGGGCAGCTTCAGGGCTGGTATAGAATTGGGGGCAGCCTGCAATTAACAATACGATATTATTAGCTCACATTTTAAAGAGGGCTAACTGTGTGCCCAGCATTTGTGATTCACTTCTCACATAATGTCCCATTGAATCCTCGTGCTACCCTGTGGGCTCAGTTGTCATTACCCATAATTTCCACTTGGGGAAAGTGAGGCATAGAGAGGTTAAACCAATTTGTCCAAGGTCACACAGCTGGTGGGTTGCAGAGCAGGATGTGAAGCAGGCAACCTTAATTCAAAGCCGCTGGTCTTAACCACTACACTTAGCACCCTCCTGGGTAAGGCCAGGAACTTGCTCAGAGAGGCAGAGACTCTGCCCACAAAGACTCTGGGTCCAGGACACAGATAACTGAAAAAAATGGCAGCATGTGTTTGGGCTAAATCCTGTTGCCAGCAATGCCACGACAGCAGTGATGTGGTGACCATAGGCACAGGTGGCATTTGAGCCAGGCCTTGTGAGAACGAGAGAGGTGGATGGGTACAAGGATGGACGAGGGAAGGGAGCATCCAGCTGAAGGACTATATGAGTTTGGCCATTGGTGACTAGACGGGCGACTAGCCCTCCTGTAGGGCCAGGGGAACAGAGCACAGGATGGGACAATGTCTGTAACAAAGGGCCTTGAATGCTCCTTGATTCCCCACGCAGACGAGAAGAAATCATGGCATATTAGCATTGCCTTGCGCCACATTGTGGCAGACGGGCTGCAGTGTAGAGACAGTCATCTGTGCCTTTCTTAGATCATCTTAGGTGATCTGGTGTAGTGGGAAGATCTCTGGGTTTGCAGTCAGGAAGACTGAGTTCAAATCCTAGTTGCTGCTTTTGCTATCATAGCTGTATGACCATGGAGAGGTCCCTCCACCTGAGTGAGCTTCCCTTTCCTATATTAATAAGTAACATCCCTTTCTCTGGATTATTGAAAAGATCAGCTAGGAACCAACTCAATATTATTATTAATTATTATAGCAAATGTTGCTATAGACTGAATGTGCCCCCCCAAATTCATATTTTGAAATCCTAACCACCAAGGTGATGATATTAGTGGTGGAGCCTTCGGAAGGTAATTAGGTTATGAGGGTGGAGTCCTTATGATTGGGATTAGTGACCTTTTAGAAAAGGTCCCAGAGGGATCCTTTGTCCTTTCTGCCACACGAGGACACAGTGAGAAGGCTCCTTTTATGAACCAGAAAGAGGGCCCTCACCAGACACTGAACCTGCACGTGCCTTAATCTTGAACTCCCCAGCCTCCAGAGCTGTGAGAAATAAATTTCTGTTGTTTATAAGCCACCCAGTTTATGGTATTTTGTTATAGCAGCCTGAATGGACTAAGACAAACATCATCATTATCTTCTTATTATTATTTTTATTATAAACGTAATAATTAACATTTATTGTGTGTCTGTTCTTTCCCAGGTACTCTTCCAAGTGCTTTATGTTGTTAAATTGCTTAACCTCAAAATACTCCTGTGAAAGCAGGTTTTTTTGTGAGCCCCATTTTACAGGCACAGTAGCTGAGACTCAGAGAGCAGCACAGCTAATAAGAGGCAAAGCCAGGATTCCCACCCAGGAATCAGGAGTCTGTGCTTGTAACCAGGTCATCTGGGTGGGTGATAGATGCTCCATGAATGTTGGTTGGGTTTAGTGGATTCTGAAATGCCCTGGGCCTGGGCACTTGCTGTGCTTTCAGCAGGTAGAGATGATGCTTTGTTGTGACTCTAAGAAGAAACAATTTCATAGTATTCTGTATGCAGTTTCTGTTTAATTTTGTTATTTTGGAATAATCTTAAATTTAGCAGAAAGCTGTAAAGAGAGTTCCCATTAATTGTTCACACAGCTTCCTCTAATGTTAATGTCATATATAACCTGGTACCTTTGTTATGACTGAGAAACTTACATGGGTACAATATTGTTAAACAAACTACAGTCTTTATTCAGAGTTCCCCAGTTTTTCCACTAATGTTCTTTTCTGTTCTAGAATCCAGTCCAATTCAGCATACCACATTGCATTTAGTCTATATGCAGTTTTAATGCCATTTATTTTCCCCCCAAATTTAAACAAAGAGTGGAAGCAGTTTCTAAACAGAGTAAATTTTTTTTAATGGATGAGGAAATTGGGGAGAAGGAAAACAGGGGCAGAGAAAACGAGATGAAGCCAGGATGGGGTCCTTTCTGAGAACACCTGCTGTGTGGGGTTGCAGACCCAGCTACAGGCAGGCTACAGATTTGGCTGAGCTTCCTGGCAGCCAGCACAAAGAGGGAAGTGGTCTATGGTGTCTATAAGAGGAAACCAGGCCAGCTGTGCTGGAGAAGCCCAGTCATTCCTCCTCCTCAGGCCTCGGAGCAGTTTTCCTCTGGTCCCTCTTCAAGAAGATGCCTTAAGCAGCATCCTCAGTAAATGTACAGGTTCTGTACTTTGGTGGTGGTGAATACGTTCTGACTGAATCCATATAAAGAGAAAGGGAGAGAGGGAGTGAGTGCAAGAGATATCATATGCTAGATCTTGGCCTGAGAGCATTGAGCATCTTTCTCTCTCCCTGATTACTGATGGACAGTATCTTTTATTATCATGTTATCCTTTTGCTGAGCAGTTATTATGTCAGGTACTATGCTAAATGCTTCACATTCATTATCTTACCTGATTTTTGCAACAATGTATGAAAAAGGAATGTTCTTATCCCCATTTTATAGGTGACAGATTTAGGAGCAATGTTAAGTGACCTGCTCAAGGTCACCCAGCTAAGAAGTACTGGAGTTGGGATTTGAACTCAAAGCAGCACACTCTAAGTCCATATTTTTTTTTCTTTTTGTCTTTTTTCGTGACCGGCAACGGGATCGCAACCCTCGGTGTTGCTC